TTTGAGAGTGGAGAATACTGTGTGTGTACTGTTACTTTCACTAGATCAATGCTCAGTTTTCAATTGTTTTTCCTTCAATAAAAATGTGTAGTTAATAACATGGGACTCATATGCCATGTGATTTCAGTAGCATAAGCTTTAATACTATCCACTTTGAAGGAGCACTCTTGGGTATTTTGTGGGATAATTTTTGGACTGTGATAGGTGCATTCTGCCCAGGGTCTCAGTAGTTAAAAAGAAACTTGAATGGAATTTATGATAACAGTTTTTTGCACTGATTTTATTATTACCCAAACAAACAAACAAAAAAAAAACCCTGAAACTCATTGCCATCGAGTCAATTCTGACTCATAGCGATGCCCTTTGGATTTCCAAGGCAGTAAATCTTCACGGAAGTAGATTGCCCAGTCTTCCTTCCATGGAGTGGCTGATGGGTTTGAACCTCCAAGTTCTAGTTAGCAGTCAAATACCTTAGGCACTATGCCACCAGAGCTCCTGATTTTATTATTACCACCAATTTAATAATGCTTTACAGTCTTTTAGAATATTATCACATTTTAATATTGCTTATCCTGACAACACTGATGGTTTGAGCTATATGGTGATTGAATTTCAAAAAGGGTAAGTCATTCAGCCATGGTCCTATAATTACTAAAATATAAAGCTGACCCTAGAACCTAAATTCCAAACTAAGTCTATTTTCAGTTTCCTAAATTGAGTTATTTTTCTGCTTCCCAAATTAGATATAATAGGGAAGTTTACCTGTAGTGTGCCATTTTATTTTCCTCATGAAGTTGGAATGGAATCTAAAGTAGCCTCATTCTGTGGAAAAATAGATAGCATTTCCATGGCTCTCTGTGGCCTCAGAACAACCCAGTGAGGTAGGCAGGGCACATGAGGCCAATTTACCATTTAGGAAACTGAGAAGTTGGAGATGAAAATGGTAGTAAAGAACATGGTAGCAAATGGAAGTACTCAGAATTGAATTCACAACTTCCAGCTCCTAGTCAACAGCATCATGGTAGATAGAATAGCACTTAGAGAATTGTTGAAAAATGCTGTCAGGATAGAATTGCAGGTTTTCATGTCATATTACAGAGCTGGGCAGAAGCAGAAGATGAAGAGCTCTCTCATGCTATCAGTCTGCGTGACTGAGACTTACACTGCTCAGCATTCTTTCTTCTGGCATAGGATATCACCAACAGCATGTCGATTAATAATGAGCAATACATGGATTACACTGATCTATGGCCTTAAAAGTGGAAGTTCTTGTATTTGGAAATATCTTTTAAATATGAAAGTATATTTCTTTGTTGCATTTTTTTTTTTCTAATTATAACAGTGGATAATATAATTGCAAAGTGATTACCAATTACAGACTGAATTGCTCAGGAAGCCTGAATTTCAGTTCCACCTTTCACAATAAACTCCTTTGGTCTCTCCTTCTCCATCTTGGCTTTTATGTTATAATCAGCAAGTGTCTCTGCTCTCTCTTTTTTTTTTTTTTAATTATCCAACAGTTCCCCATTTTAGGACACATTCTGCTTCTTCTTAAGTCTCAAACGTTAAATGTGTAAGTGAGTGAATGAGTAAATGAGTGAGTTTCATAATAAGAACCCTGACTTTCCACTAAGAGCCATACTCTAGATATCTCTGTTCATGAAGTTTTTGCCAAGTAGAGTAGACATTAAGATGAAAGTATTCTTAAATGAAAGAAGACTACAGAAATGGTTATAGTCTTTTCATGAAAGAAAATCACTCATCTCTATCTTACAACCCATCAGCCACTCCTTGGAAGGAAGGTTGGGCAATCTACTTCCATAGTGATACCGCCTGGGAAACCCAGGGAGGGGTCGCTATGATTTGGGTCTGACTCGACAGCACATAACAACAACAACATATCTTACAAAGTAAGCATTATTATTAATTAGGAGACTAACATTATAATAAAATTGTAAATTAAGATTATTGGCAAATTAAATTTTGTAAAGAATAGTTGAGAAAATGTCTCCATCCACATTAAGAGTTGATAATTTTATTTATTTATTAAAGGTATTATACAGGTTCTCTTTACTTTCTTCCATGTATCAATATATTCTCCCTGGCTTTGGGATAGGCCATATTGAATAGGCATATCCTTTTAAAAGTAACAGCATAGTTGAATTAAATATGAAATGAAGATGAACACTTTGTAGAATTCCAATTTAACCTTTATATTTTCTTTTTTTAATTTTTATTGTGATTTGGTGAAAGTTTACACAGCAAATTCATTTTCCATACAGCAGTTCATACATATTTTGTCTCATGACATTGACTGCAATTCCCCACAATGTAACAGCTCTCTTCCCACTTCCTCCCTATAGTTACCTCTTCCTTGTGTCCTTCCCTCCCATGCACTCCCGCCCCCTGAGCTGTGTCCCTGTGCACACACTGCCCTTCTGTTCTCCCATGATTGATCACTCCAAGGAGTGTATCTATCAGATGTAAATGTTAACCCCAT